CCCCCCGCTGGCCCTGCCCTTAGCCGGCGCCGGGGCCTGTTCGGCCTCATTCCGTGCCAGCCTGGCCTCCTGCGTGGCAGCGGGGTGAGTCCCCAGGCACAGCCCCTTGCCAGCCCCCAGCCCCCCGCCATCCCTGGGCTCACCTCCTGCAGGAGCTGGATCTTGTTCTCCAGGAGCTCGTAGACGTGCTCCGACTCCCGCTGCCGCTCCTCATACTGCTGCCGGAGCGCTGCTTGGCTGCGGGTCGTCTGGTTCTCCGCAGCCACCCTGCCAGGCACAGCATGGCATGGCACTGCACAGCACAGTAGGGCACAGCACAATGTGGCATGGCATGGCATGGCATCTCACCACATCACATGGCATGGCACTGCATGGTATGGCACGGCACGCTATGGCATGGCATGGCACATGATGTGGCATAGCCTGGCACAGCATGGCACGGCATGGCACAGCATGGCAGGGCTTGGCAGGGTACAGTGTGTCACGGCATGGCATGGCACAGCATGGCCTCCCTTTGCAAAAGCCCCATCCCAAACCAGCCCAGCTCCCCCCACCCCATGGGTGCTCTTTCTGTGGGACCCCCCAGGTAGGGCGTACTGTAACATCCGAGCACCGCTGGCCTGGGGACACGGCTCCTCCAGTGGCACCAGCTCATGCTCAGGCTCTAAACCATTAAAACCATTCTTGCACACTCCCAAAACCAGGGGGATCCCAGCAGACACAGGTGCTGCCCTTTATTTTTGGCTGGCGCCAGGGCTGTAAGAGGAGCCCGGCGGGGGCCCAACCCCATTGCAAACCCCTCCAGCCCCATTGCAAACTCCTCCGCTGCCCGCTGTGGTCAGGGTGCAGGCAGACAACCCCATCCCCACGGCTTGTGGTTGCCACGTCCACCCCGGAGTGGGGGGCTCAGCTGGCCCAGCTCACCATGTGTTGTCCAGGGCTTGTTGCTTCTCCTGCAGCTCCCGCTTCAGGCTCTCCACCTCCACCTTCAGCTCGATGTTCTGCAGGGCAGGAGGGAGGTGGGTAGGATGCCCCGACACTTGTCCACCCCCCCCCCCCAGTGTTACTGCCCACGCGAATGCATCAGGGTCCTCCACCCTACAGCAGGGCTTTGGGTGCTCCTGGCATCAAGTGGCACTGGTGGTATTTTAGCCCACTGGTGCTGGGATGGGGTGTACCCGCTCCATCTGTCTGCACGCAAACTGGCACTGCCACCCACCCCGGGCACCCCAGTGGGCTGGGAATGCCCTCCTCAAATCTCTCCCCACTCCAGCAAAAGGCAGCAAGGGGCAAACTCCCGCACGGCGGCTCTCCCAACCCCAGTGCTGTGCTCAATGCCCTCTCCAGCAATCCCACCAGCTGCGCTCCCCCAGCCCCATCTCCTCCTGGCAAAGGGGGACCACTGGGAGGGAAACCCCTATCGGGCAGCCATCCCCCATGGGTGCTCACCCGCCGGTAGACATCGTCCCGGCTTCCCTCGCCCTTCTGCTGGACTCGCTCCTCCAGAAAGTAGATGCGCAGCTTGAGGCTGAAATTCTCCTTCTTGAGATCGTTGAGGTGCTGGGAGAGTGTGCGGTACCCATTAGCCATGGCCGGTGGGTGGTCCATGGCGGGGGCATCCCGGCACCCCTCACATGGTGCCGCTGGGGACACGGCCCGGGGTCCCTGCCTGTCCGCAGCTCCTGCCGCCCTCCCTGCCGCGGCCCCCCTACTTTC